GGACTACACTGATCTCAACAAAGCATGCCCCATGGATCCATTCCCGCTACCAAACATTGATCAATTGGTGGATGAGACCGCGGGGTGTGAAATCATGTCCTTCCTCGATGCCTTCCGAGGGTACCACCAAATATTCATGCACGAGGAGGACGCCGAAAAAACTGCCTTCATGACTCCCGAGGGCATCTTCTGCTACCTAGTGATGGCCTTCGGCCTAAAGAACTCAGGGGCCACTTACACCCGGATGGTGGCCCGGGTCTTTCAAGCCGTCCTAGGGCGCACCATGGAGGCCTATGTCGACGACATGATCGTCAAGAGCAAGCAATCTTCCAGTCATGCTGACGACCTCCGGGAAATTTTTGCCATCATGCAAAAATTCAACCTTCGGCTAAACCCGAAGAAGTGCACCTTCGGCGTCCAAGGGGGCAAATTCTTAGGCTACATGGTGAGCCGAAGGGGTATTGAGGCCAATCCCGAGAAGATCCAGGCCATCATCAACATGGAGCCCCCACGTAACGTGAAGGAAGTTCAACGGTTGACGGGCCGCCTGGCAGCCCTCAACCGCTTCCTATCTAAATCGGCAGAGAAGTCTCTACCCTTCTTCCAGATCATGAGGAAGACGGCTGGCTTTCTATGGACTCCAGAATGCCAGGGGGCTTTCGACGAGCTAAAGAGATAGCTATCTTCACCCCCTGTGCTCTCCAAACCCAAGGTAGGGGAGACCCTCTACCTCTACCTTGGGGTTAGCCCGGTAGCCATCAGCTCTGTGCTCATCCGGGAGGAAGACGGCATCCAACATGCCATCTTCTACGTTAGCAAGACCCTAAGGGAGGCCGAGCTCAGGTACTCCCCTGTGGAAAAAAAGGTGTTGGCCATCGTTTGGACTGTCAAGAAGTTGGGCCACTACTTTCAGGCTCACCCAGTTCAGGTCCTCACTCATCAACCCCTCGGCGCCCTCATGAGGAGCCCCACCAGCTCCTCCCGCATGGTTAAATGGGCTATCTTCTTGAGCCAGTACAACATTGACATCCGTCCAAGGCCTGCCATCAAGGGCCAAGCCCTAGCGGACTTTGTGACGGAATGTACCGCAAGGGCAGCCACGGACGGGGAGCCCTCGGCAACCTCGGACGACTGGTGGACCCTCTACACTGACGGCTCCTCCGCGACCAAAGCATGCGGGGGAGGGGTAGTCCTCATTACTCCCGAGGGCTTCAGGGCTTACTATGCAATCCGCTTCTCCTTCAAGGTCTCCAACAATGAGGCCGAATATGAGGCCCTCCTATGTGGCCTTCGGCTGGCTGCCAACATGAGGGCTCGGCAGATCCACATCAAATGCGACTCCAAGTTGGTCGTTGGCCAAATCTCCGAAGAATATGAGGCCAAGGAGGGAAGAATGAAACAGTACAAGGAAGCGGCCAAGGAGTTGCTTAAGGTATTTGAGGCACACTCTCTCACTCAAATACCGAGGGCTCAGAACTCCGAGGCCGACATATTATCTAAGCTCTCGGCCGACTCCCCCGAGCACATCTCCAAAATTGCCAAAATCGAGGAACTCAGTCTCTCAAGCATCCATGCAAGCCCCGTTATGAACATACAACAGCGTCAGGAGGATTGGATCTCAGATATCACCATCTTCATCTCCACAGGGCAGCTACCCGAGAATGAGGCCCGCGCTAAACTGGCAAAGCTGAGGGCTCCCAGCTACACCATCGAAGATGGAAGGCTCTACAAACGATCTTACAATGGCACGCTACTTCGGTGCCTTCATCCAGATGAAGCCGAGGTCGCAATGGAGGAAGTGCACAGTGGCACTTGCTCAGCTCACCAAGGACCCTTCTCCATGTCCCGAAGGCTCATTCTCCAGGGCTACTTCTGGCCAACCATGGCCAGGGATTGTGCTGACCTTGCCCGGAGGTGCACCGCATGTCAACATTTCCAGAAAGCCCCCGGCAGGCCAGCGGTCAACTATGCCCCCATCAGCACATCTGTCCCATTTTCTCGATGGGGGATAGACCTTGTGGGCCCTCTGCCGAGGGGTACCTCCAACAACAGATACATCATTGTGGCCGTCGACTATTTTACCAAGTGGGTGGAGGCTGAACCCCTCGCCAGCATCACAGAGGCGAAGTGCCGTCACTTCGTCCTCAAGAACATCCTCACAAGGTTTGGCGTCCCCCAGCAGATCATCTCCGACAGTGGAACACAATTTGAGGCAGCCCCCTTCCGTGCCCTTCTGGAGGCGTGGGGCATCAAACACACCTTCTCCTCCGTTGCCTACCCTCAAGGCAACGGGCAGGTAGAGAACGCCAACCGGACCTTGCTCGAGGGCCTCAAGAAGAAGCTGGAGGCCGAGGGTGGTGGCTGGGTGGAAGAACTTCACAACATCCTCTGGGCCTACCGCACTACCCCTCGGCGCGCTACAGGTGAAACACCCTTCTCCCTCTGCTACGGTTTTGAAGCCAAAGCTCCTACGGAAGTCACCCTTCCTACCCGAAGGGTGATCCAATATGACCCCGAGGTCAACGACAGCAACATGGCCCTCGACCTGCACCTCATTTCAGAGCGCCGGGAGCGGGCCTTCATCCGGGCAGAAAACTACCGAAGGCAAGTTAAAAGCTACATCGACGCCAAAGTTCGAACCCGGGAATTTCAAGTGGGGGACTATGTCCTCCGGAGGAGAGAAGCCAGCCAACCAACCGAGGGAGGAAAAATGGCACCAAAATTCGAAGGCCCCTACATCATAGCAGTCATCATCAAACCCGGGACTTACAGACTCAAACGCCCCAACGGGAAAGAGGTCTCTAGGCACTGGAATGTACACCATTTAGTTAAATTTTATCAATAATGTAAGAGCGGCCAAGCCCTCATAACTAGTGAATGTACTATCCAATGGCCCAAGGCCTCCAATTTCGAAGAATGAAGATACATTCAAGACATCAAGCCCTCATACTGACTACAGGCCCCAGGCCTCACCACAAGAAGAACCCCCTCCGGTACCCAGTGCCGAGGGCGGACACCATCAACACATACAACAAACAGTAGAAACACCACGTGTTTTCAGTCAAGACCCCTCGGCACCCAGTGCCGAGGGTACTTCCCCACCTCCAACATCAAAAAAGAAAAGATGGGAACACCAAGTGTTCCTACAGAAGACCCTTCGGCACCCAGTGCCGAGGGTACACCTCCCTCATCAAATATCGAAACGAAGAAAAAACACCAAGTGTTTCACAGAAGACCCCTCGGCACCAAGTGCCAGGGATATGCTCTCCTAACAGCTTCCGAACATCTATTGGGAAACACCAAGTGTTTCATTTGAAGACCCTTCGGTACCAAGTACCGAGGGTAGACGCCTACATCAACTACAACAAGAGAACACCAAGTGTTCCTACCGAAGACCCTTCGGCACCCAGTGCCGAGGGTACACCTCCCTCATCAAATATCGAAACGTAGAAAAAACACCAAGTGTTTCACAGAAGACCCCTCGGCACCAAGTGTCAGGGATATGCTCTCCTAACAGCTTCCGAACATCTATTGGGAAACACCAAGTGTTTCATTTGAAGACCCTTCGGTACCAAGTACCGAGGGTAGACACCTACATCAACTACAACAAGAGAACACCAAGTGTTCCTACAAAAGACCCCTCGGTACCAAGTACCGGGGGCTACACATCGAAACTAACACCAAGTGTTGTTTCTAAAAGCCGTACCCCACGAGGACGCATATACCGAAGGCGCCACCATCGGTGCCGGCGGCACGTAGTGCCCCCGGCCATTTGCAACTAGTGTGAAAATGAAAACCCTTCCTTGAAACGCTTTCCGCGTCACTACCCCCAGGGTATGACAGGCATGAGAAATGCCAAGGATTCGACTTTCAAAAACGGAACGCTATCCGCGTCATTTCCCCCAGGGTATGACAGGCATGAGGAATGCCCAGGATTCGACTTCCAAACCGAAACGCTCCCCGCGCCACCACCCCAAGGGTGTGGCAGGCCACAGACTATGTCTAGCGCCGAGGGGATGACTTTCAAAAATGAGGCGCTTTCCGCGCCATCCCCCAAGGGGAGGCAGGTTACGGACCACCATATCTTGTGCCCAGGAAACGTCCCTCGATCCCCTCGGCACTCGGAAGGTTAACCCGAGGGAGGAGAGCCATTGGTGTATTCTGATGGTCTCCTAATAGGCCCAGCCTTACCAAGGAGGGATTCCATTTCCCGAAGGCTCCCAAGGGAGATTTTGCACTTAGAAGATTTTCTAAGTCCTGCATATTTCCCCCCGGTCAACTACTCATACATCATGAAGGGATGCCATCTCCCGAAGGCTCCCAAGGGAAACTCTACACTTAGAAGATTTTCTAAGTCCTGCATATTTCCCCCCGGTCAACTACTCATACATCATGAAGGGATGCCATCTCCCGAAGGCTCCCAAGGGAAACCCTGCACTTAGAAGATTTTCTAAGTCCTACATATTTCGCCCTCATCTCGAGGGACCTAATTGCTGAAGGCTACCTATCAATCGAGGGCTACAGTTCACAAGGAATCAACACTCAAGAAAATCTTCTAAGTCCTAAAGAATTAGCCCCCGGCCTGCTCAATATTACAGGTGGGGCTCCACAGTAGCCGAAGGCTACATGGCATACTACACTTGCAAAAATCTCTAAGTCCTGTGCATTGGGCCCTCGGTCCATTATTCACACATAAGGAATGGGCGCTATATCCCGAAGGCTCTCAAGGGGGAATCTACACTTCGAGATTTTTCTAAGTCCTAGGAGGTGGGTTACTACAAACACCCGAAGGCCTCATGCTGTGCTACACTTAGAAAAAAATTTCTAAGTCCTAATTGCTGCCGAACCACCGGTTGCATATCCAGCGGAGGGTGCCCAACTACCGAAGGCTCCCAAGGGCTAGCTACAATCAGATGACATTCTAAGTCCTAAGACATACATTCAAAGGAACAAGACATACATTCAAAACAAAGACGAAGGCATACATTCAACAATGAACAGATCAGAAGGAAGCATATCATATACACCAAGCCCGAAGGCAATCATTCAATTACAACACAAAAATAGTCAATATGATCATTACAGAGTGTGGCCAAGGCCGAGGGGCAACAAAAATTTCATTACAAGGTTTTTTTAAAAAGAAAAGATTTGACTAAGTGATAATCTTCTCGACGGCTTCAGCCTCGTTGTCACCGGGGGCATCTTCCCCGACAGCCTTGGAGGAGACTTCTTCTCCGGCAGCATCACCCCCGATGGCTCCAACCCCGTCACCCCCCATCATCACAGAATCATAGATTGTTGGCCGCTCTTCACCCGGGGGGAGGGGAACTCTAACATCTGGTTGCAACGGAGGGAGGCCATATACCGAGGGGTCAAATTGTTCGAGGGATACGCCGAAGTGCCTGGCGAGCCTCCGGTATATCAGGTGCTGGGTAAAGAACTCACCCCCCTGATAGTAGGCGTCGCCCCTATCGGTCAGCCAGTCTACCCCGGGGACTTCAACCCAAGCATCCACCGAGGCTGCCACCACGGAGGCAACCCACTCCTTGTGGCCCTCGGCCCTCCAGCCCTCAGCAAGGAACTCCGCAACTGCCTCCCCTCGGGCCTCGGCCGCAGCTCTCTCCTTAGCAGTTTGGGCTTCATCGGCGGCTTTCTTCGCCGCCTCGGCAGCGGCCCTCTCGGCCTCTGCCTTGCCTTTGGCTATTCCATCAGCCTTGGCCTTCTCCGCCGCCGCCTTCGCCTCCCGAAGGGCCTCCTCCAGCTGGGCAGCATGCTTCACTGCCTCAGAGTTCTTACGGATCAGCCCCTCCACCTTCTTATCCTGGGCAGCCTCGTGGAGACGCCTTTCCTCACGCCTCCGGGCCTGTTCCCCGAGGGCTATGCAGGCCTGCAAACAATGATCAAAGGAGTTAGATTGTTCCTCAGGAAAAAATAAGACTAAACTGACAAGATAAGGAAAAAGGAAGCGGATACTTACAGTGAGCGAGGACCGGAGGATCCTGTTCTCGAGGGCATCGTCATCGTAGGTCTCGAAGACTTCCCTGTCCATCTTCGAGGTGATGCCCCGCAGGAAGGCCTTCGGCTCGGCAGTGCCGTGCATCAACTACGCGTCGGGGGCAAAGGAGAGCTGACGGATCTCCCGGGGTGATTCCGCCCGGGGGGGATTTACCGGATCCTTCGGGGGGACCGAGGCCAGAGGCTCACCAGCAGCTGGCATGTCATCAATAACTATGAGGGGGGCCGCCCCCCCGACAGCACCCCCGGCGCCTTTCTGCTTCTTGGTAGGGGGCTCCACCCCCTTGTCGCTCCTCTTCTTCTTAGCGGCCGCCTCGGCCTTCGACCCCCCGGTCCCCACAACAGCATGGGCGTTCCCGGCGGAAGGCTCTATGGCCTTCGGGAAAAGCGCGTCAACTGGCTTCTGGCCCGAGGGCCCCTTCTCCTTTTGCTGGGTCTTGCCCTTCCTCTTCGCGAACAAGGCGTTGGCATTCATCCTGCTACCTGCAAAGAACGACAGCAACAAGTTGAAAGGTTAGAACCGAGGGGTCAAACACATGACAACAAACATAACAAAAAAATCTCTAAGTACGAAAATGTAAAGCCCCCGGCCACTACCTCCTGCTCCCACGAAGGCTTTATCGTAGAGGGGATATTTCTCATCGGTCTCCCCAATGAACCGATACATCAGGAATCCGAGGGTATACAGGTCCTCCTCGAGGGTGCACTCCTTGATGGTTACGTTCTTTTCCCGACCCTCGGGAATCTTTGCAATCTTCAGGCCATCCTTCTCGAGGGCGGCACTCTTGGCCTTCACATGGCGCCGAAAGCAATTCCGCAACTCCCTCGGGAACGGGCTGTCGGCCAGTCTGATGAAGCACCATCGCTCTCTCCACCCCTTGTTGGAAGAGGGGGCCTCAGTGAACAGCTTGAACTGGGCTATCTGTTGTAAGTTCGCATAGCCCTCAGCATTTGTATGTCCCCCCCGGCATAGGTTGAAGCTTTGGAAGAATAACTCCAGGCTCGGTGTAACCTTCCGGAGTTTGCACAGGTTCACAAACCCCGTTATGTACGAGTGGCTGTTGGGAGTCAATTGGCAGGGGGCCAGGCCGGTGTACCTCAGGTACTCCCGGAGGAACGGATGGAGAGGGAACCGGAGGCCCATTGAGACCGAAAGCACGTGCACGGCTATACATCCCTCGGGGGGCCGCGACAGCACGTCATCGGGACCTGGCTCGACTACCACGGCTGAGGGCCCTACATGCAATTGGGTGATATAGATGTCCGCCCTGTCAGCTTGGGACTTGATCTCCAGAGCGGCGGTGTCCAGGAAGGAATAACCCTCCGGTAGATCAACTGGCCCCCCCTGATCGACGGTCTTTGTTTTCTTCTGAGGGGCGGCCTTCGTCTTTCTCTTCTTCATCCCGGGGGCCACCCGGAGGGGAACTGCGTTCAACGGCCGGGAGGTACTGGCCTCACCAGCACCCCGAGGGGGAAGGACGGCCACAGTGACCTTCGCCCTCTCCTTTTCTTCTTCCTCCTCAGCAACCTGGACGGCGAGGACTAACTCCTCATCTTCCGCGGTCCGCTCGAATTCCTCCGCCTCGGCCTCGGCCGTCAGATCCTTCTGCACCTCAGTGGCGAGGGCTACATCACCACCATCCGAGGGCTGACTGCTGCTGGACTCCACGTCGGAGATGCCTTCGTCCTCCATCGAGGGCGTCCTCGAGATGTCCTGAGAGTCACTCTGGGACGACATTCTACACTCTAGCTCGAGGGTTCGGGGGAACTAAGGTTCCTAGTGAATTCTATCTCCTAAACTAAGGGCACAGTACAGCTATGTTAGAAGGAGAAAGGCAGGGAGCACTGACCTCGGAAGCTGAGTTTTGACCGAAGGCTGAACTTTCTCTCTCTAGAAAAATTGACAGAGCTTCGCTAACAAGTTTATCGCACACGGAGGAACGCCTGGCCTTGAGGTATTTATAGGCGATGAATCCGGGCTTGGGCCTGGATTCCGGGCCTCCGGATGGACGCCATCATTACACACCGCCGTTTCACCCAACCGGTGACGCCGCCCACGGACAACCAGCCTTCACATGCCACGTGTGCCACCCCCCCCCCCCCCAACGGCTATATCCTGTCGTTACATATTCCAACGGCCATATTTCCAACGACTATATTTTGGAAGCCCCCGGGTTTTGTACTTCACTCCACTCCATCAAAGATAGCCTCCGGGTGCACTCACCCAGAAGTGCCCCCGGGTTGTGCCCCACACAGCACATTACATAAGCCTTCGGGATCACCCCTTCAGATCCTAGGGCTGCATATCAGGGCACACCTCGGGGCTTCCCCCTCAGCACTACAAAACCGGGTAGCCCCCGGGGAGTGCCTCATTGACGGATGGCCCATGGCACACAGGTAATGGGAGCCCTCGGGTATCTTCATCACCAACTCATCAACAAACAGTGGGCCCCCCGGTAACAACTTCACTGCTGCCCTCATCTGGCAGGCCCTCGGTCCCTGGATTGAGGGGCTCCCCTTCAGCACCACCAGGACATCAACAGCAAGCCTTCGGCTAATCAACACAGGAGCCCTCAGAAGAGAGAGCCTTCGGCATTCCCGCCATTCTCCATTTTTGCCAAGGTTTGACATTTTCGCTTCATCATTGGGGGAATTCGGTGCACTCTTTTTCCCTCATTAAGATTTTTTCCCAAAGGGTTTTTCCTAATGAGGTTTTTAACGAGGCATCCCCCAAAATGAAACGAAGAGCGTCAGCCTTCGGCCCACAACAGCAACATAACTACTTCACTCCTTTTCACCACTTTACAAGTGCCTCAAGGAGTGGGGGACTGGAGGACCCCTTCAGGAAAATCATTAAATTACAAAATCTGTGAAATTCCAACAAACAACAAAGCAAGCCCTCAAGTCCCGACATGTGGGTAACTGAGGGACTGCCTTCGCCAGGGACATAAAAGCAACAACTCCTCACCAACTTCAGAGATCACAACGGGATAACATCAAGGGGCGAGCACAAATTACTCCTTTTCCCTCAAGTACCTTTCGGCAAAAGGAGTGAGGGACTCCTGATGGAGTATATGGCCCGGGGAACCCCCGACCCACAGACTCCCACTACTCCAGCAAAGGCCCAACAGGCCCAGAAGGCCCAATTCACAGCGCCCGGAGTACCAAGCAGTCTGCACAACGCGCAGGGGTGCCTTCGGCCCCCTGGCCGAAGGCTCCAAATTCTCACAGAACGGGTTTTCTCAAGCAAACTAAGAAATCGGGAGAAAACGACTAAAACAGTAGCCCTCGGCACTGTGAGCCCTCGGCACCAGGGGTGCCATCGGGAGGAAGAGCCCTCGGCTACTGCTCTATAGCCGAAGGCATCTCGCTCGACAAGATATCCGCCTCACATGCGTACAGATCACCGTACTCTGCACAGACGTCCCATCCAACAGCCGCATTAAATGCGGCCACATGCGGCTGCCAGCGCCAACCAGTTGAGGTGACCCCTCGACCAATGAGCGCTTGACACGTGTCCCTGCCCGGCATTTATTGCTACTATAAATAGCACCACATTTCCCCATTTGTAACCACGCTGAAAACGCTTAATACATACCGAATATACACTCTCTCTCTTACTTACTTGCTCTGACTTCTCTCTAAGTTACTCCCCGTAGTAACCCTTCGGATATATACCCCGGGTAGACTATCCATCACATGTAATTCTAGATTTGGATGAAAAATTGAATTCAAGCAGATAATGAATTCTGTGTGGTGAAACATGGATAAAAATTAGGCTCTGTTTGTTTCTCGAAGGTGTTGTTTTGCCAGACACTTTTTTCTTACAGAAAATTCAGAGGATAACCCTAAGCAAACAGGCTCTATATTATAGATAACTACCCAATGAAGAAGCTGCTATTTCCTTTTATTCAGCGATCGGAGATCAACTGGGCCGGTGCACAAAGATCAACAAAATTTATTGATATCTACTAGATTTTAAAAGTATATATGTATAATCCTCATATCTGCTTCCTTCACTATAACTTTAATTTGATCTATCTTCCCTGCCCCCTTCTTCTTCCCTTATCTACTCATATTTCCTTTCTTCACCTCTCCCCACTTCTTCTTCCCCTTTCTGCTCCTTTTTCCTTGCTCCCCCCTTTCTCCTAATCCCTCCCCTTTCAACTTCCTTCTAAGCATATCATAACCAAACATTACAGATGGACATGTCTTAAAGGGAATCGACCCTTAGATGGCGGAGTGATTGTCATCATTGGTCCTTCCGTTCCTAGGCAAGATTGAGTGCTGCGGGCCTGCGGCTACATTCGAAGATGGGCATGTCCTCCTACCCCCCACCCAGGGAATGCCCTACACCATCCACTGGTGGCCCCACTTTCCCCTGGGCCTAACAAAATTGGACCAGTTCTTGCAAGCACATCTCTTACTTGATCCAAAAGATGAATCAATACCTAAGACATGATCTCAATCAATAGCCAATACTAAAAACAATACAAGCGTAACCTCACAATGATGGCAGTGTTTATGCTTACCTTTTTCTCGTGTCTAAACCACACTGATAAGGGAATGCTTCGGAGGTAGAACCCTAAACAGCCTGTCATTCATGACATATCATCCAATCAGACCTGCAAGGTGTATATACTTAGTTTTGCCAAATATAATATTTATTTATACTATAATAACGGAAAGTACACCAAAATCTTTTGGGAATAAGGCTTGGATGTTGTTGTATAACAACGAAAAATAAAATATAAGAATGTATCATTTTTTAATAAAATATAACATTATAATACAATATTGTAACAAATGTACTTAATAATAACATATAATATTACCTAATAATATAATTACTTAATAAGCTTTCTTCCTTTTCCCCCCTTTGTCTTCCCCTGTCTACTCATTTTTCCTTTCTTCCCCTTTCCCATACTCCCTTTCCTCCCTTCTTCTTCCCCTTTCTACTCCTTTTTTCTTGCTTCGCCCTTTTCCCATACTCTGTCCGCCCCGAGGTAGTCAAAAACGCGCTAGAGTACTTTTGAGGCCCAAGGCGCAAAAAAACACTTGTCTAACTCATGTCAAGCTCACTATTTAGAAAATATTATGTATACTATTCTAGAGTGATCAAAAATGACATATTCAACATCATATCGAACTAAATGCATTAAAAAGTCATGTTTCTCAATAACAAAGTAACAATCCACAGAAAAAAGTCATGGTTGGATGGTTCACATAAACAAAACACCGAGCAGGGTCTGTTTTGGCTGATTTTGCAAAATGAGGACTACGGGTAGCATAAATTGTAGTGTGTTAAACTATTAACCGAGTTAGATTACATGAAGTTTTATACAATTAAAAAATGAAATGATGATAAGAAGATATAAAGTTATAGACTGTATAATAAGATGAAGCAAAGAGAACCATAAAGTGTTTAAAGAGAACTATAAAGTACGCATAGATGACTGCAAGTGGTAAAAGTAAAGAGAGAAGATAGACTGAAAGAATAAAAAGAAAGGATCAACAAGAAGATGGTAAAATAAATGAAAACTACAATCTGAAAAAGAAAGAAGAAAGAACATGGGAAGATGATGAGGAAGAAGAAACCTTAAGAGTTGACTACAATCTGAAAAAGAAAGAAGAAAGAACATGGGAAGATGATGAGGAAGAAGAAACCTTAAGAGTTGCTAGCTTCAATGGGTTGATCGTTGATTCGTTGGATGTGGTTGCAGCGCTGAACAGGTTGCACGAGTAGAGCATAGGAGAGTAATGATGAAGACGCGCGATAGAAGGCTTTTACCGTGACTTAGAAGGGTTTAACATGGGTTTAAGTTGTTTTGACCTATTATTTGAATGGCGCTAAACATGCGTAGCACCTTATAATTCCTCAAGCGCAAGAAGAGCTGAGACGCACGCTTGTCACGCCTGTGCTGGGAAATGCTTCTCAACTTATTTTTGAATGGCGCACGTTTCTTCTTTCTGTCTTCATCCTCTTGTTTAATTCAATTTTTCATTCTTTCTAATTTTCTATATTTTTCGGTGTTGTCTGTTTGTTCTTGCTCTAATTCTATCTTTTCATTAAAAAAATTGATACCTTTATCTCTTATTTTCTTCTTCTGCTTTATATCTTCTCCTAACAAGTTCTTTTCTTTTATTTTTAGTCCTTCCATTCTTAGCCATGTTCCGAGTGTTGCAGCTGCATCAGAAACTAGGCATGCCCCCCGCCCCGCCCATGGGATGCCCTCCACTATCCACTGGTTTGCCGCACTTTCCCCAGGGCCTGCTCTCCCCTCCACTTTCCCCAGGAACTGCCCCCATTTCCCCGTGGACTGCCCCCCTGCTCCCTTCACCCCAGGATCTGGCCCACACAAACTCAAATTGCATACAAGCAATGGTTTTTAATGGAGTAATCCCCTTCCCTCTTCTCCCTCTTTGTCTTCCATCTTCCTCTTCCATCTTTTTCTCATTTATTATCAAACCATCGTAACACATGTGAACTATGAAATGGAGTAATCCAGAGAACCAAGGTATGATCAAATGCAATACATAGAGAGAGCAACCCTGAAATTCAAAACCATGATGCAGAAAAGATACTCAAACTCAACATAGTGGGGCAATGCAAATAAATCTTGTCTAACTGTCAGCAAGCTAAGTTTACTGTAATTTTCTGTCAAAAAAATCATTAATAGTTAAACCGAGTTGATTTTTCTTTTACATTTCGATATCTCCTTACCCTTCATCTTCTTCTGGTTCCGTCTTCTTCCTCTCTTCCTTGTTCAACCCCTCTGCTCCCATTTTCTACTTATACAGGTTATGGCATCTAGTCCATCTACAATTCGGTGACCATGGAATATAAGTTGTTGCCACTTGTCTTACCTTCAACTGTCTGCAATCAAAGCACGTCAAATCCTTGAGCAACCACCCTTCTTTCTCTTCTCCCTTTCTAACCCCCTCTCACCCACCCCCCTTCGGATACCCATTCACTTCTCCACTTCTAAAAAAAGATTGTAATGATTGTTTCTTAAGAATGCTGGAAAGGCAGCTATGAAACACTTCAACAAATCATTTGGTATGTTTTGCATTACCTAATTTCAGACTATTAATCAAAATAAAAAAATACATGCCATGAAATAGCGGTGAAACTAAAATTTTCTTCATTAATGCAGCCGTATGGATTTCAGCTGAGTGACTCCTTAAAGCAAAAGTTGTTCCTCTTAGCAAGGCCATCCATGTAATTTTATATTTGGATAAAAAATTTAATTCAAACAAAAAATGAATTCTTTGAGGTGATAGTTGCATACAAATTGGGGTCTGTTGGCTTCCCAAAGGTGTTGCTTTGCCAGACACTTTTTTGTTTCAGAAAATTCAAACGATAACCTAAGCAATTCCTTTTATCAGCCGGATCGGTTCATAAAGATCATAACTGTATTAATATTAATTATAATACGGAGTATAATAACATATAATATAATAATATATAGGTTTACTTTTGCTTACCTTTTCTTGTTCACCCCTTTTTTCTTCTTGCTTTCTTATAAGTGCCTATTGCATGAGTGAGATGCTAATTTACCTCAACAACAATACCTGAATGAGAAGAGACACATAAAGCACCCAAATGTCCAGAAAACATATGACCTCAAAGAAGAAGAACTTACAGACCACAAGTCCCAGCCCAGGCAGTTCCCCACATATGGATGCTTTCCGTATTCTCTGCTTCGTTACCTCCCAGAGTTAATCAAATAGTGCACCACACGGATTAGGAAGATCGCCATTAGAAACCTGTTTTTCAACTAATTATCTACTATACTCCAATGACTTTAAATGACCTTCTGAAAACACACACAGGCAAGTCTTCACCTTTGGCTGTGCGTCAGAATCCTGACCAGCACCTCTCAAAGGGAGTCCGGGAGGTGCTTCTCCTTCCTTTTAATTTAACCGCCTGTAACAAGAAAACGCGCTCAAATTTCCACACATGGAAACAAAATCAGATTGAAATTTGTGAGCTAACAATAGTCACATATCCTTAAGAAGAAGCACAAGAGCAAATAAAATTGAAAATACGCAAAAAGGAAAATAGAGCTAGAGAACCAGGCAGTGCTTGTGATGGTTCAAAAAATCACTTTTCAGCTTCTTGCTTCAAAAACGTTAAACATAAGGTTTTCAAACACGTGCTTGCGCTTAACTTTCTTGTAAATGCTTTTCGGTTTTTCTGTAGCTAACTCAATCTTTTAGCCCTAAACATATATGCAACAATTATCCTACTCCTACATGACAAGACAAAACAGAGCATGCGGAAAAATTATACATTTTGGTACTTCCACTGAATATTACATTACAAATCACTTTTCTACCGAACTTTTACTTTTAATAAAAAATCACTTCCAATTTAAAACACTGCCGGCTTTTATCAAGCGGTTTCTCTATAATAACTTTTCACTAAGAAAAATAACTTTTTTAGGAGCACAATAAATAGCAAACACTTCCTTAATATCGCACATAGTTATATTATATCTATATATCTAAAGCAACTAGACCTTGGAGTTACTTCAGAACATGCAGCACTCTTACAAGCAATTAAAGCACACTACAGTATTATGCCCCTAAAACATAGACATTTCAGTTGCATTGCACACTACAGACAACACGTGAATATGCCCACTAAAACATAGATATTTCATTTGCAGCAAACGATAAATTATTCAAGTTCATCATCAAAAGTTCCTGTTAGTAGTGTCATTGTACTCTTTAAGGCCATGCAATGACATCAAAAGCATAGTCACTCACAACTTGATCTCATTTGCAGGTAGTCCATAAATTTCTACCCGAAAATTTGCTCCATATTTCATTGAACTATTCAAAATACGCAAATACCAAGTCGCCATTAGAATGCAACACCTACATAATAGTCCTCACCTTCATACAGGGTAGCTAATAGTGTACAAATACAAAAAAATGGAACTCAACGCTAGTTATTATATTCCCACTTGAGCATCCTCTTGTTATACAAGTGACTAGCAGCAGGGTATAATCTCCAAAAGAGATCAAGTAATAAAATTGAACACTCCCTCCATTTTCATTTAATTGTTCTGCTAGGCTTTTAGAGATTTTAAGAGTACGTGCATAGTATATAAAGAGACAAAAAAAAGTAGGAGAAGAAAACATGAAAAAGTAAAAATAGTAGGAGAGGGCATGAAAAAGTTAGGGGCACTTATGGTATTCACAAAACCTTTATTCTCCAAAAGCGGGAAATGGAAGAAATACACTACAACTTCTGAATAGAAAGCTGAACCCTTAAAGGAAAACGAGGGGAGTAATTGATATGAGAAAAGCCAACTAACCAATTCTGATTAAAGCACAACCTATCTCAGTTTTAAAAATGAACTCAGTACCAAACAGATTTGTGAACAAGATCCAGCCTCAACATTGAATAGCCTTCAGCAAATATGACACATGATTCAGGGGAAATTTGGAGAACAAAAGAAAGGAGGCCACAAGATTACCTTAACCTCCACAATAGCTACAGTACTAGGGACACACAAAAATCAGGGATGAAACTCTACTCTGTCCTTCCAGTCTCCCACCCTACTGGATAAATAAGTATTTTCTCATTACCAAAGGGCAAGGGCATTGCCTTTCCGCTTGTGGAAAAGGCAGGGTATTTTACTATTTCTTGTTATCTCTGGATGTTCTCATCACCGTCCATTCCATTCTTAGTCCCAAAAGAGTTTGTCGATTCAGGTAAGCTGATCCCAAGTTGTTTTGGGACTAAGCCTGGGATATTATCGTGTATGGAACATCTGACACCGATGGACTGTTCTAAAAAGAAAGCGGGAATTCGAACCGTTGTTACCAGCAAAAAGAGACCACGGAACACTTGTTTCTTTCAAAGTAACAAATCAGAAAAGCCTTGATCCAAGTAATGTGATACCAATGGACTGTTCTAAAAAGAAAGCGGGAATTCGAACCGTTGTTTTTACCAGCAAAAAGAGACCACGGAACACTTATTTCTTTCAAAGTAACAAATCAGAAAAGCCTTGATCCAAGTAATGTGATACTTATTTGTCAAAAAATATAAAAACTTGAGTTTCAAATTTTGAGGTAAACTACTATTCCACAACACAACAACAGCAGATATTCCACTACTATTTTGGTACTAATGTATTATATTCCCATACTCCCGAGCACTACAATACAACAGGAGACATCCCACTCCTATTTAGAGGGTTCTGCTGTACAATCAATTACATTGGTGTCATTAAGGGTCGAATTCTGACTGACAATAATGAGGCAAATAAAAGTAAACCTTATGGATAAAACTAAGCATGTCAACTGCTGCAAAACTTATTTCAGATGTTTAATGTGGACTTCAAATCAAACCTTACCGTGTTAGGTAAAAGGTATTGATCAAGAACATGAATTGCTATGGATACTTAAGTTGAGAGAACACCGTGAATAATGAGGCAAATAAAAGGAAACCTTATGGATAAAACTAAGCATGTCAACTGCTGCAGTACTCATTTTCCTACTTTCCTTTCCAGTTCCTTTTCCCTTACTTACTTCCCCGTTCCTTGTCCTTCCCCATTTCTTTCCCCTCCCACTCTCCTCCTTTCCCCCCGCGCCGTTGCCTCTCCCCCCCCCCCCCCCCACGGGGAGGTTTGGCAACACCGTGAATAGACAAGGTAGATGATACAGACAACCTATGAAAAAGTAAAGTTCAGCAAAAAATAGAAAACTGATCATTAATTTATGCAAGGAAGAATGGTAGAATACCATTCACAGAAAAGCTTTAGTAATTCTCCAGGGCACATCGCTCCTTCATGGCCATCTATCTGCCAGGATTTCCTTTTGCTGAGTATCATAAGACCTGCAAGGGTGTATATGCTTAGTTTTGCCAAAAATAAGGTTTCTTTATACTCACTTATTTATGTATTCATCTGTTCTTCTTTTCTTTCTTTCCTTCCCCCCGTTCCTTTTCCCTTCCTTCCTTTTCCAGTTCCTTTTTCCTTTCTTCCTTTTCCCCCAACTCTATTCCTTTCCCATCGCACCCTTGCTACCTGCCATATTGCCTCGGCGACAAGGCGCCCGCCTAGACGACAATTAGGCGACTGGTATAACTATATATTTATAATTATATACACAATTATATATATAATTATGATATATTTATATAAGATATATAAGATTTTATTGAACTATATTTAATTCGTAATTTATTATACACTATGTGTTATATATGATACTCCCTCCGGTTTCAAAACAACTTCACACTTTCCTTTTTGGGTAGGTCCAAAATAAACTTCACACTTCTATTTTTGGCAACATTTTAATATAAAGTTACCCTTATACCCTTACTTTATAACCTACTTTACACCAACTTTCTCTCTCCCACTATATTTTATCTACTTTTGGGGCGGCATAATTAGAAAGTCAAAAAAAAAAATCCACTTTTTAAACCGTAAAGTCAAACTATGGGAAGTTCTTTTGGGACCGGAGGGAGTATATTACTAATTAAATTGTATATTACTGATGCTATATTGCATAATAATTGTATAATAAGTATGAATGTACTTTACAAAAAGTTAAATTACATAAAGTCTAATAGTTTATTAATTTCTACAAGTAACATACAATAATAGTACCCAGCAGCCTATGCTCTCAGCCTCTAACTTTATGTGTATGTACTAGTATGTATATACTCTGCACATATACAAATATATCAGCTAGACAATAATAGATGGGGACCTAGTAACGTACTGTTCGTCTACGCAAGGGAGTGCAACTTTAGGAGTTCTACGCTTTTTCTTCTTCGTACGAGTCTGGGTCTCTAGACTCTGCGTCTTGACGGTCTTCTAAAATTACTATACTTTGTTTCTAAATAAAACCCTAAAGCCTTAAATCGGCGATTGCGGTTAGACTGGCCAAAACAGCGCCTTATCGCCAAAGCGCGCCTGGACGACGTCATGATCGCCTTCTCTTCTTCTGGCGAGGAGAGGGAACCCGGCGACCACTCCAGAGCGCCAGGACGCCTAGTCGTCCCTGCCCCCTTCTTCTTCCCTTATCTACTCATATTTCCTTTCTTCCCCTCTCCCCCTTCTTCTTCCCCTTTTTGCTCCTTTTCCTTGCTCCCCCTTTTTCCTAATCCCTCCCCTCTCAACTTCCTTCTAAGCTTATCATAACCAAACATTACAGATGGACATGTCTTAAAGGGAATCTGACCCTTAGATGGCGGAGTGAGTGTCATCATTGGTCCTTCCGTTCCTAGGCAAGATCCGAGTGCTGCGGGCCTGCGGCTACATTAGAAGATGGGCACGTCCTCCTACCCCCCACCCAGGGAATGCCCTCCACCATCCACTGGTGGCCTCACTTTCCCCTGGACCTGCCAAAATTGGACCAGTTCTTGCAAGCACATCTCTTACTTGATCCAAAAGATGAATCAATGATCTCAATCAATAGCCAATACTAAAAACAATACAAGCGTAACCTCACAATGATGGCAGTGTTTATGCTTAGTGCTTACCTTTTTCTCGTGTCTAAACCACACTGATAAGAGAATGCTTCGGGAGGTAGAACCCTAAACAGCCTGTCATTCATGGCATATCATCCAATCAGACCTGCAAGGTGTATATACTTAGTTTTGCCAAATTTAATTTTTATTTATACTATAATAACGGAAAATACCCAAAATCTTTTGGGAATAAGGCTTGGATGTTGTTGTATAATAACAGAAAATAAAATATAAGAATGTATCATTTCATAATAAAATATAACATTATAATACAATATTGTAACAAATGTACTTGATAATAACATATAATATTTACCTAATTTTTGAGGCGCAAGGCGCAAAAAAACACTTGCCTGACTCATGTCAAGTCCACTATTTAGAAAATATTATGTATACTATTCTAGAGTGATCAAATATGACATATTCAACATCATATCGAACTAAATGCATTAAAAAATCATGTTTCTCAATAACAAAGTCACAATCCACAGAAAAAAGTCATGGTTGATGGTTCACATAAACAAAACACCGAGCAGGGTCTGTTTTGGCTGATTTTGCAGTATGAGGACTACGGGTAGCATAAATTGTAGTGTGTGAAACTATTAACCGAGTTAGATTATACGAAGTTTTATACAATTAAAATATGAAATGATGATAAGAAGATATAGAGTTATAGACTGTATAATATAAGATGAAGCAAAGAGAACCATAAAGTATGCAAAGAGAACTATAAAGTACGCATAGATGACTGCAAGTGGTAAAAGTAAAGAGAGAAGATAGACTGAAAGAATAGAAAGAAAGGATCAACAAGAAGATGACAAAATAAATGAAAACTACAATCTGAAAAAGAAAGAAGAAAGAACATGGGAAGATGATGAGGAAGAAGAAACCTTAAGGGTTGCTAGCTTCAGTGGGTTGATTGTTGATTTGTTGGATGCGGTTGGAGCGCTGAACAGGTTGTGCGAGTAGAGCATAGGAGAGTAATGATGAAAACGCACGATAGAAGGCTTTTACCGTGACTTAGAAGGGTTTAACATGGGTTTAAGTTGTTTTGACCTATTATGTGAATGGCGCTAAACATGGGTAGCACCTTATAATTTCCAGGCGCAGTGATATGCCTCAGGCGCAAGAAGAGCTGAGGCGCACGCTTGTCACGCCTGTGCTGGGAAATGCTTCTCAACTTATTTTTGAATGGCGCACGTTTCTTCTTTCTGTCTTCATCCTCTTGTTTAATTCAATTTTTCATTCTTTCTTATTTTCTATATTTTTCGGTATTGTCTATTTGTTCTTGCTCTAATTCTATCTTTTCATTTAAAAAATTGATACCTTTATCTCTAATTTTCTTCTTCTGCTTTATATCTTCTCCTAACAAGATCTTTTCTTTTATTTTTAGTCCTTCCATTCTTAGCCATGTTCCGAGTGTAGCAGCTGCATCAGAAACTAGGCATGCCCCCCACCCCGCCCACGGGATGCCCTCCAGTCTCCACTATCCACTGGTTTGCCCCACTTTCCCCAGGGCCTGCTCTCCCCTCCACTCTCCCCAGGAACTGCCCCCATTTCCCCGTGGACTGCCCCCCTGCTCCCTTCACCCCAGGATCTGGCCCACACAAACTCAAATTGCATACAAGCAATGGTTTTTAATGGAGTAATCCCCTTCCTTCTTCTCCCTCTTTGTCTTCCATCTTCCTCTTCCATCTTTTTCTCATTTATTATCAAACCATCGTAACACATGCGAACTATGAAATGGAGTAACTTTATGTGTATGTACTAGTATGTATATACTCTGCATATATACGAACATATCGGCTAGACAATCATAGATGGGGACCTGGTAACGTACTGTTCGTCTACACAAGGTAGTGCAACTTTGGGAGTTCTATGCTTTTGACTTCTTCGTAAGAGTCTGGGTCTCGAGACTCTGCGTCTTCACGGTCTTCTAAAATTACTATGCTTTGTCTCTAATTAAAACCCTAAAGCCTTAAATCGGCGATTGCGGTTAGACTGGCCAAAACAGCGCCTTATCGCCAAAGCACGCCTGGACGACGCCATGATCGCCTTCTCTTCTTCTGGCGAGGAGAGGGAACCCGGCGAACACTCCAGAGCGCCAGGACGCCTAGTCGTTGACTAGACAACGCCTAGACGACGCCGTAACAAGTATGCCACTACCAAAGAGAATTGAAAGTAAAGACACTTTTCTCCAATGAAAGTGAAAGGTTTAATTCCAACCAATCAACAAAAAGGACATATATTAAGAAACAAAATTTACTCAGGGGTTCCCTTTTCTTATGGGAAAATATTTTCCTAGAATATGTTTCCTGATTTCCTATGTTTGGCACATGATAATACTATCCAAGAAAACATTTTCTGGATTATAGCGCGCCCTTTCTTTCCAAAAAATAATTTCAGTGTTTAGCAACATAAACCCCCCCCCCTGATCTTTTGATACTTTGTGCAAACTGTTTTCCTGTTTTGAACAGGGGAAGTAACTTTCCTCAAACAATTTTTTGGGTCAAACATTATATTTTAAATAGAGCAACTTAATTTCCACGCAAAACAGATTGCAGGACAAAAAAATTTCCTGGAAATAAACAGAGCCTTAAGTGACAAATATTTGGAAGAGAAGAAGTCATGGTCCATGAGTCTATGTTTGGAAACAACCAAGTTACCATAAAGTCACACAGATATGAATGGAAGAAGGAAGAGAACCTTGTCAGCTTCTTTTATTGTTCCTGGTAGAACAACACCTTTAGATTTTGCCCATGCTCGTGCACCTTCACCAACCAAAAACCTACAGAAGTGTTGGTAAGCTCATTCCGGACACACAGACACACACAATATGTTATCTTTAGCTAAGTCATCCTAATTCTAAGAGGTGAGATTTAATCTATTTCACATTTATGCATGACTCATTAGACAACCCATTTGAGATACTCAAAACACCCTCCAACCCAAGCCAAGGAGGAGAAGTTAAGGGTGAATAAATGAGCCAAATTGAATCCCAATTCTCAAACCATAAAGTGGAAACACTCCACATGTAACCATCAAATCGGGTTATAATAACACACTACATAGGGTCTAATTCACCTCAAAAGAATCTTCAAGAGGTAAGTTTTACATCATACTTAGAAATTAGACTCAAATCCAATAAAGAGCTGATGGAATATTCAACCCAACAAAACAAGAGCTAGATTCATTTTAAGAAGAATACAACTAAGGTTCAAAGAAAGAGTAAACCATACATGGGGGATATCCGACCCAGCAGTGTTGAACCGGAAAGCTGGTCCTTGGCTAATAAATAATGCAGCAATCTGGATGGCATTTCTAACACCTGCCAATAATTAACTTCACAAAAAGGTGTAATGACTGTTACAAGTAAAAACAAATGCTCTGAAGACCATAACTTACATCATAATTGCTTTTCAAATAAAAAATGACCAATTAAAGTTGAATATTGGTGTACCTGGCACTGCCCCTACAGCACCAAATGCTCCAGAATCACCATCCATTATGCTTGCATCACATTCCACATTACCCTCAGTCAAATTTGAACCTCACCCAGCATTTGTATTTGGATCATCCTGAAAGGGTAGGTCATGGTAAACCACCAAAAAATCCGTTACAGCATAACGACCATTTATTTGGTTACACGTACACAGTGTACTCAAATGCTATGAGTGTAACTTTTCATTCAAGTTCTGTTAATGTACACTGCTAGGTGGCGAGGAAGTGTGAAATGGGAAATGCAGAAACATCACTTTTTAAATGAGAAAAAAGGCGTTATAAAGGCTCCATTAGAGTTTCTTAAGGCGCGGTTTGGAAACTGTCGAAAAACAATCGTAATACTATGGGAAAGAGATAGGAAGGGCTATAGAAAAGATTGAAACAAAAGAAAGTGTGATGGGGGGATAACATTGATTGAAACTCAGTAAACTTATTTATACATTAGTTCAATCTCATTTCACTTGTCTATTTTTAACACCCCGTGCATAGAGACTAAGAAAGCCAAACAAATAAATTAATACTTGAAAGCACTTGCATCTCTTTCTAGCTAAGCAGAAAGTCTAAAAGAAACAAAGTTCAGTATTACTGTGTACATATATTTACATTGTCCAAATTTAAACAAAGCCATTCATGACAGCAGAGCCAAAAGTTATATGGAAATACATGGGACCACAAGCAATGCTAGGAAAAGAAAAGAATGTGAAGGAAAATGAAATATGAATACCTTTTTCTAACGATTTTTTGACAAATGACAAGCATTTAGATTTCTTATTCTTTATGTAATAGATTATCGACTAATTTAAATACAATATATATCTTTTATTCTCCCCTAATTTTTCTTTCATTTTAGATATATTAATCTGTGTTTTACCTCCTTCCCCCTGTAGTATTTCAGATTCCAAACAGACCCTTACCACTTAGTCTGATGAGAAGTACGTAGTACAACTTATCCTAGTATATTATTATTTTTATTATTATACTTGCTTATTAATTACTTGTTAATATTCCTTTCCCTTTCTTTCCTTCCCCGTTCCTTTTCCATTTCCCTTTCCCTCTTTCCTTCCCCGTTCCCTTTCTTTCCCTTCCCTGTTCCTTTTCCCTTTCTTTCCCTTCCCCGTTCCATTTCCCTTCTTTCTTTCTTTGTTCCTTTTCCCTTTCTTTCTTTCCCGTTCCTTTTCCCTTTCTTTCTTTCCCGTTCCTTAAAATTTAACTTTCATGAGTTCATCCTTCATTAATTCTTTTTCCCTTTCAGGCCGGTCAATCTAGAAAAACCCCACAAAACCTTAACCCTGATAATTAACTGATAAGTCAAACCACGACTTGCCCACGGTTTAACTTTCATGAGTTCATCCATCATTAATTCTTCTGAGCCTAGCCTAAGCCTAAGCCTAACGGCGCCATAAGCGACGCCCTAACCTAAGCCTAACGGAGCCCTAAGCAGCGCCCTAAACCTACCTACCTAAAACCTAAGCCTCACGGCGCCATAAGCGACGCCCTAACCTAAGCCTAACGGCGCCCTAAGCAGCGCCCTAAACCTACCTACCTAAAACCTAAACCTAACGGCGCCCTAAGCGGCGCCCTAACCTAAGGGCCGGCCCCAAAGGGGTTGCCAGCCCAACCCAGCGGGACAGGACTGAGAAGCCCCGAGTCCCAAAGTTTGGGTGCATTTGGGAGCAACTGTACACTTACATTTATAAGCATGCCAGGCGAGACTTTAAGTTCTCCGTTTCGGTGTGGGAAAAAAATAAGCTGTAAAGCTTCCGTTACGTATGTGTCCAGGCGGACAGTCACCTGCGACAACAAGCTCAGCACCGGCCGGCCCTGCACCTGTCCCTCGATCTTCGTCTTTCCTTGCCCTCCAAATCATATTTTTGCTCAGCAACCATCTCGGCGGCCTCCTCCCCACTCCGTCCGAGCAGCGAGGACCTCAGCTTATTGCTTTCTGCACTCCGTCCCAGCAGCGACCCCTCCCTCCGGGCGCCACCCACTCTGAGTAATTTACCTTGTTTTGGATCCGGGGAGGGAAGAAGCGGGTCTGAAAGGCCACAGCTTACCAGTGAAGTGAAGTGAAGTGAAGTGAAGTGATAATAGGGGAGGGGGAGCTTACCAGTGAAAAAGCGGATCTGAATAGGGGAGGAGGAGCTTACCCGTGAAGGGATGATAAAAATTTGTTTTTGTTTATATTTGTTTCCTGAAATCTGGCTTGTGTGAAATTGAGGAAAATCCAAACTGCTTGAAAAATGGCCAGAGCAGTTCAAAGGTCTTGATTTCAATAATTGTGCAAAAATGGTGTGCGAAAAAAAATGCTCGAGTGAATGACATTGTGGCGATCAAAACTCAAAAGTTGGTTTTGAAATGAAAAATTGTCTCTTTTCAAAGAGTCACATTTAGCGTATAAATAAAAGGATCACGTTGAATTGAGGAGAATGGGAAAAAAATTATTGTCATTCCTTCCCTTACTCTATTACTCTTATCTGCAGTATTAGTAATAAAGTGTTTAGACCACTTTATAATTATTGTCATTCCTTCCCTAGTCGGATTTGCCAAATCCGACTCCCGTATTCTGGTAACTTAAAGGGAACTCCCGTATTTTGCCTTGTCAGACGGGAAAAGCCCGTATTTTGGTAATTTCCTCCTCAAAGTATGTATTATTGGTTTATAATTGATAGTTAGTATTATTTAAGGTTATTTTGTCAAAATGTAAGTGGAAACTTTAATTTGTTCTGAACCTTCTTAAAAAGGAAATGAGAACTTTATTTAGAACGAATGAGATTATATTACTCCGTATATTAAAAGGTCTAAGTCTAAAGTCTTAAAAATCCAATGTGCTAAGGTAAATTTTAAAGTCCAAATCACAAATTATTTGACAAACCATGTTCATGAAATTTAGAGTTCTATACTACGGAACTAGTATTTAATACAAGTAAAGAAAACAAAAAAGAGTTTCATAAATTTTTTTATGAAACTCTTTTGATTAATACTCCTAATATTTCAGTCATCTCTTGATTAATACTCCTAATATAATTTTTTCATGAATCAACAGAATCAGCCAATACGGCCACTTCAGCCAGAATTTCATAAATTTCAGCAGAATAAGCCAATTCAGCCAATTTGATATGTTGTATTGTTGTAAATCATTTATATTTAAAATAGTTTTAATTAGACTGAAAAATCTACGACGTAACTGGTAAAATTTGATATGTTCACATATGGGTATAATAGTAAAGCAAGACTCTTAATAGGTGAATTAGTAAAAATCGTATAAGAGTCTATAATAAAGAAACTGTGTTACAAGTTGCTAAATCACAAAAAATCATTTAAAATAGATTAAAAGTACTTATTGAATAAACTTGCATATTAAATTAGAGTTAAATTCACCTTATAGTGTATGTGAATAATTTTCAAATTGAATGAGGACAAATGTTTTTTTTGTTAGGAAAGTGTCTTCTACGTTTTAATTATTTTGATAAAAATAAGTCTACTATGAGTGATTCATTAAAAATAAGGTTACCTCACACGAGTAAAAGTCATCTTTTTGCCTACTTTTTTACCAACTTCAGTTTGAATAAAACAAAGCAATTGAGAAATAATTGAGGTCCCCGCATTTTATCTTCAACAAGTGTTACCTTTACATTTAGTCCAATTGTCTCATTTCTCAAGCGGTTTGAATATATTGATTTGCGCTAAAGATGGCGAACAAATCAATCATGCTACCAATGTTATTTACAAGAAAATGTTTCGAAATGTGTAGACTGCGAAAACCTTTTTTTAATATTCATCAATTCTTCTTATTCCAACATATTTTTCGTACCAATTATGATTCGTATCTTTTGCGTAATTAAAATTTTCTGTGTCACATCTGTACTACTTACATTCATTTACACATTAAATAATACTTGTAATGTTAACAAATAATATAATACTCTCTATTATATAGCTATTACTTATTCTATGTCCCGTGCATCGCACCTTAATCAAGCTCAAACACCTTATTATTAAAAGATTTAAAATAAAAATCGAACAGATTTAAAATCGAACAGACCAAAATCGAGATCGACCAAAACGAATCGATAAAGCTGAAACCGACCAAAACGAATTCATAAATCCGAAACCGACGGGAAGTGACTAATCATATGTTATTCGGTTTACGGTTTATATTTTTTAGTTATAAAATCTGCCAAACCAAAATTGGCAAACAAAACTCGTCCAAAATCGGCACACGCTATGGAATCATAAAAAGCACAATATTCACTCGAAGTAAGAATTTGCTCTCTGGAAAGCATCATCCAACTTTCCTATCGAGTCAGCTGCAAAAAGATATTTGATTTGTATATGACATTTGGAGCTAATCTATATCTATATATATAGTAAATCAGAAAAGTGTGGGGGATTTTGGGCGGGAACACCGTAGCTAAGTGTAATGGAGAAAAGTTGGCGGGTGGTGACCATTAATATTGGCGGCTTCGTTGTTATAGAAGAATAGAAAGACAAAACATTTAATGAAACATTAAAAGACAAAACATTATACTCCGTACACGTTATTTGAAAAGACACAAGAATATGAGAAGGAGGGTGACTTTAGTTGAAATTGCCAAAGCATGATTCTATTTTACTTTAATAATAAGTTGTTATACTCCCTATTACATTTCTAACAAAGGCAATAAATCACAATCATGTTGAACGGGAAAGCTGTAAAGTCCTCTTTACAGCCACCATTGTGGTTTCCGAAGAGCCAATATATCACTTTTAGTTTTACGTTAATCCGGCTCAATAAATACAATTAGAAAACATTCCCAATGAAAATACATCAATACAATTGAAGCGGCAACACATTTCGAAGATATTGAAGCCTTCACAATCTACTAAGTGACTCTTAGTATTCTTATTGGAAACACCTTTCGGGGTGGTTCCTATAAAAAAAATAGGATAAGAAGCATAAGAAACACCATAATTATAATGAAAAAAATCTTCACAAGCATAAGAAGCACACAATTGATGGATCTTGATTACTGCTATTTGAAAGTAATTTACTGTGAAAAGATAAACGAAATATGAAGAATTTGTTGAAATAAAAAGGATATAAAAAAATTCAATTTTATATCAAAAATTGAAATTATAAGATGAAGAATACTTATCTGAATAGAGTTTCGGTGTTCTCCAATGAGTTGTATTTATTGATCTCATCATAAGTTTTACATAAGTTTTATGAGGTCTGTGAATTACCTGTTGTCGGTGGCTGTGACTTGGGGTTCGGCAAATCCTCAATGAAGAAGATTACACCGAATGCGGTGATGCTCGAGCGTTAGACTGGTAAAGCGAAAATTTTCTATCCTTTGTAGTTTGGGTGGCTACATCGGGCTTTCTGTAAAAAAAAAATGAAGAGTGGGCTGGAGTTTATATTTGTGTACAAGCACACAAGCAGTATATACAATAGAGTCCAAGTGGTCTATTTCTCTAAAGTTTATTTATTTGCTTGGATTAATACTTTCTATAAGCATATTATTTTAGATTATACTCCGTCTGTTCTCTAATAACTGTCCTCTTAGATTTTTCATGATTGTTGAGAAAAAAATCGTAGGGATAATATATGAGAAAATTACCCTAAGTAGGACTAAAATAATGACAAATTTCTTAAATAGGACTATCAATATTTTATTCCCAAAATATGACTCATTCACTCCTATTTTGGGAAATTTTAATCAAAGTATTCTTTTAATTGGATTAAATCAGTTCTATTTGGGGGGGAAAACATACTTAGTCCTATTTGTGCATTTAAGTTTAGTTTTAGTCCTATACAGGACAATATATAGGGTGTATGATAATTGATAAATGAAAAAGTGAAAAAGAGAATATTGAGAAGAGAAAAGTGGTGAAAACGTATGAAAGACAAAGTAGTTTGTAAAACGATGAGAGTAATAAAAGTGAGGGTATAAAGGTATTTTGATAGAAAAATATTACCAAAATGGAAAAAAGAGACAAGCAACAAAAAACATCTCAAAAAAGAATACGAGACTGTTATTATAGAACATAAAGAGCAGTTTTTGGAAAGATTATTTTACTTTATTGTTTAAAACCACAATAGATTTTATTTTGGTCCACTCAAATGTAAATATATGAACAATGCACTCAAATATAATTCACAGGTTACTAAGCAGTGCTTATTAAGGCTTGCATTAGTAAGCGGCGTGTAAAATATGCATATATACATGTGCACAAGTATATATGCATATAATATGTGGGACCTACCTCTACCCCTACCATGACCCTACCCATGCCACGACCCTCGGGTAGGTTGTGGTAGGCTACAAGCCACGAGTAGGGGGTCAGGGTAAGGGGTAGGGGCAGGGGTTACGCGGAAGGGTACTGGGGGGTTGAGGTGGAGTCGAGGTAAGGAGTACAAGTGGGGGTAGGGGTGGTAAGGGGTTTGGTACGGGGTTAGGGTGGGGTGGTAAGGGATGGGGGTAGGATAGGGTAGGGAAGTGGGGTCGGGGTCGGAGTGGGGCGGGATAAGGTAGAGTTAAGGGTAGGAACGGGGTGGGGTAGAGGGTAACAATAGGGTAAGGGCAAGGAGTAAGGGTAAGGGTAAATTCGGAAACTAAAAAATCTTAAAGTGCCGCTTAATTTAATACATGGGGGTGGTATGCTTAGTAAGCGGCACTTTAAACACCTCTTTCGGTTAGTAAGCAACTTTTAAGCAGCTTGCGTGTTTACTTCACATGTCTTACTAACTTAACTATGACTTTAGCAGCAAGGTAAACGTCTTCTTAAGTTATTTATACTAAGTGAATGGATTAAATGTATCACAGAGATGTTACTATTTTTTGTTAAAATAATGTATTGAAAGAATTCTTTTGAAAGGAATAAGTATGGGAGAAAAAGTATTGATATCGAGTTTCAAAGATGACCGTTATGTCTAACAGTTTCATATGGAATGACGATAAACAAAAATCAAGAACAATATTTGCGTAATAGTGATTGGTCAATTATATGTTGATTTAAAAGTTGTTACATGTGATAAAGATGGTAGAGATATTAATATAACAAAAATGTATATCAAAATATCTTTCAATTTTTTTAAACATTTATCCATCTTATATGTCATATGGATTTTCACTTACACATTTATTTTCCTCATTTTATCATATTTCACATTTCAATATGCTCTGTATCATATTTCACATTTCAATAATGGAGACAACCCTTCACAACTGCACCACAAAGAACTTTTAATTAGAGTCGCTTGCCCAAGCAAATGAATATCTATATTATACACTATAGATTTCTGATTTTTTTTTGCTATGAAAAATGTTAGATTTATACATGTACAATTTTTTTGGAGGATGAATTTATTGTTTTGAATTTTACATAAGTTTTATGAGGTCTGTTAATTACCTGTTGTCGGTGGCCGTGACTTGGGGTTCGGCAAATCCTCAATGAAGAAGATTACACCGAATGCGGTGATGCTCGAGCGTTAGACTGGTAAAGCGAAAATTTTCTATCCTTTGTAGTTTGGGTTGCTACATTGGGCTTTTTGTAAAAAAAATGAATAGTGGGCTGGAGT